AATAATAAAATCACAAGGAGGTAAAAAAAAAATGCTGAAAAGATCAGTGAAAATACCAATGAAAGTCTCCACAAATCTCTGAGACGAGACTTGATTGATGGCATCTTTGTCATTATAGGATGAATGGACGGTATGATGCAAAGAAGAAGATCCGACCCTCCCCATTCCCGTCTCTTTTGACTCTCACACATGCACCCTCCTTAGCACTCTTACACACCCGGAAACGGATAAATTTTATTATTATTTTGTAAATGTCTTTTCTATTTATGAAAAAGACACAAAGCACAAAAAGCAGCTTAAATATTTTGTCCGCGCATGCGTGGAGGTAGGACCATCCAAAAAAGGATCAGGGCCATTTTTAAATACAGCCTCGTTATCAGTTTCATTCTGGTTATTTGGTCCATTTCATAATGTCATCTCTTTGGTCTATTTCATAATGTCATCGTTTAGGTCCATTTCATAATGTCATCTTTTTGGTCCATTTCATAATGCCATTTTTTGGTCCATTTCATAATGTCATTTTTTGGTCCATTTCACAATGTCATCTTTTTGGTCCATTTCATAGTGTCATCTTTTTGGTCCATTTCATAATGTCATTTTTTGGTCCTTTTCATAATATCAACTTTTTGGTCCATTTCATAATGTCATTTTTGGTCCATTTCATAATATCATTTTTGGTCCATTACGTAATGTCATCTTTTTGGTACATTTTATCTCATCTTTTTGGTCCATTTCGTAATTTCATATTTTAAGTACATTTCATAATGTCATCTTTTTAGTACATTTCATAATATCATCTTTTTGGTCCATTTCATAATGTCATTTTTTGGTCCTTTTCATAATATCAACTTTTTGGTCCATTTCATAATATCATTTTTGGTCCATTACGTAATGTCATCTTTTTGGTACATTTTATCTAATCTTTTTGGTCCATTTCGTAATTTCATATTTTAAGTATATTTCATAATGTCATCTTTTTAGTACATTTCATAATATCATCTTTTTGGTCCATTTCGTAATGTCATCATTTTAGTACATTTCGTAATGTCATCTTTTTGGTCCATTTCATAATATCATCTTTTTGGTCCATTTCATAATGTCATCATTTTAGTACATTTCATAATATCATCTTTTTGGTCCATTTCATAATGTCATCTTTTATAGTACATTTCGTAATGTCATCTTTTTGGTCCATTTCATATCATCTTTTTGGTCCATTTTGTAATGTCATCTTTTTGGTACATTTCATAATATCATCTTTTTCTTCTTGTCCTACACAGAACATATTCGACTATGGCACGGTGGAGGGCTCTCAAACAGAGATGTTCTTCAGACACACCAAGATGCGCCATTACGAGACCATGTGGGCCTACATGTCGTCACTGTCTCCCAAGTCCATGAGTAGGACAACGGACATTGGATTTGAGTAAGTTACACCTGCAACACAATCAGGAAGCATGCACATAAGGGGTGCATAGAATGAACATAAGATGTAAATAATATGTACATAGGATGTACATAAGATGTACACAAGATGTAAATAAGATGTACATAGGATGCACATAAGATGTAAATAGGATGCACATAAGATGTAAATAGGATGCACATAAGATGTAAATAGGATGCACATAAGATTTAAATAGGATGTACATAAGATCTACACATACATAAGATATACATGGATATAAGATGTACATAGACATAAGCTGTACATAGACATAAGATGTACATATACATAAGATGTACATATACATAAGCTGTACATAGACATAAGATGTACATGGACATAAGATGTACATAGACATAAGATGTACATGGACTTGATATTCATAAGATGAACATTCATACTGTTTTTACAAGTTCAGTTTTTGTGGGTTTTTTAAATTTTTTTACATTTGTCCATTTTTGGGTGACTGGTAACTAGTTCAGTTAAGAAAACAATAACAGTTACAAAAACGATGAGCTTAACAAAAGACCGGGCAGATCTGATAGCATCTGATGGCATCTGATGGCATCTGATACCATGTGATAGCATCTGATACCATCTGATAGCATGACCTAAAGAAATATAAGTGCTAAACATTAAAACAAACTCATTCAAATCAGCATCGGGACAATTTCTTTGTTTTTTTTGTTTTTTTTTTTGTTTTTTAAAATTGCCTCACAGACCGAATAGTTCTTCTAGGAGTAGCAAAGAAGTATTTAAATAATAATGGTGCCACAATAAAAATTTAAACTGGTTTTAAGTAGGGCAGTTTTAAATGTCCTGGTTTTAGACAGGACAATTTTTTGATGTTCTTTGTTTTTAGTAGGACAATTTAAAATAATCTGTTTTAAATGGGATGATTGTAAATGTCCTGGTTTTAATAAGAACAATTTTAAATGTCCTCCTTTGAAATAGGATTTTTTAAAGTCATTGTATTAAATTTGAAACGAACAAAAAAGGTCACCTCATGTCCACCTTATATTATCTCACATGTTCATTTCATCAATGGAGTTCTTATATAATCTCCAACCTACAACCATCATGTTATATATATATATTGTTTTATTTATTTATATATATATATATATATATATATATAT